ATCTGGTGTATTGACCAGGTTAGGATCTGGTGTGTTAACCTGGTGTGTTGACCTGATATGTTGACCTGGTGATAATCTAGTGTGTTGACCTGGCGATAATCTAGTGTGTTGACCTGGTGTATTGACCTGGTGTTGACCTGGTGTTGACCTGGTGTTGACCTGGTGTTGACTTTGTGTGGTGTGTCGTGTCGATTACCATTATATTATTGATGCGAGAGTGCCCAACCCGTTTAGGGTCATACAGCGTCTTGCTAAGCCTATAGGCCTGACGTACTTCCAGTAGCAGAGTTCTACTGGTGACGCCGCCTCAACCTGCTTCACCTCACCTCTCAGTAGTCTCCGCTCATACAATGTACTGGTTGTAACCACAATCATTATTTTGGAAGGGGGGGGGGTGGACCGGTAAGCCAGCGGAAGGCCTTGGTCAGATGACCAATATCTACGGGTTATCCTCTTTCCTAGCAAACTTTACCTAACATATCCTGTAGATAAGGACTGATCACGTCGACTACAGGTTGAGGGACTGATTTATTGGACTGATGAAGTCACTGACTGACAGAAGTCACTGACGAAGTAAAGATACCCGAATGTTGTACAAGCATCTCATTTATCAGCTCCTGGAGAGTGGGAAGTGATCAGCTTTGATCCAAAGAGGGGAAGGATCACTTCAAATTCTTGGATCAAGAGCCCTCTCACAGGCCTGGAGGAGCTACAGTATTTTTTTAACTCACCGGCCGTCTCCCACCTAGGCAGGGTAGCCGGGAAAAGAAAAATCACTTACACCGTCATTAATTTAGTCACTGTCTTGCTGACATCTCCTAAACCTTACGCCATTTTTATATTCTCATTACTTATTGTACAAGTACAGATGTCTTAATACCAATACATTAACTAAGACGTTTCGCCAAAGGAGGTTTTATGAAAAGTTTCAAGTGGCGAAAAGTTTATATCAATAAACGTCTTGATTATGTATTATTCTCACAGTATTTTTCGTGAGGTTGATGTCTTAGCTGAGTGATAGATATAGTTGAGCTGATGTTTGTTTTTCTAGTGTGACCCCCAGTGTATGTTTGTTGGCAGGATCATCCAGTGGTCCGGGGAGTACAGTGCTGACGGTACCATGATGTACTACACACGAGATGGTGAAGCTGAGGAACTCTTCCTGCCAGGACCTGTCAAGCGACCACTTACACTCATGGTAAGTGTGAAGTATGTTGTCCAGGACCACTTACACTCATGGTAAGTATGAAGTCTGGTCCAGGACCACTTACACTCATGGTAAGTGTGAAGTATGTTGTCCAGGACCACTTACACTCATGGTAAGTATGAAGTATGTGGTCCAGGACCACTTACACTCATGGTAAGTGTGAAGTATGTGGTCCAGGACCACTTACACTCATGGTAAGTGTGAAGTATGTGGTCCAGGACCACTTACACTCATGGTAAGTATGAAGTATGTGGTCCAGGACCACTTACACTCATGGTAAGTGTGAAGTATGTGGTCCAGGACCACTTACACTCATGGTAAGTGTGAAGTATGTTGTCCAGGACCACTTACACTCATGGTAAGTATGAAATCTGGTCCAGGACCACTTACACTCATGGTAAGTATGAAGTATGTGGTCCAGGACCACTTACACTCATGGTAAGTATGAAGTATGTGGTCCAGGACCACTTACACTCATGGTAAGTGTGAAGTATGTGGTCCAGGACCACTTACACTCATGGTAAGTATGAAGTATGTGGTCCAGGACCACTTACACTCATGGTAAGTGTGAAGTATGTGGTCCAGGACCACTTACACTCATGGTAAGTGTGAAGTATGTGGTCCAGGACCACTTACACTCATGGTAAGTGTGAAGTATGTGGTCCAGGACCACTTACACTCATGGTAAGTGTGAAGTATGTTGTCCAGGACCACTTACACTCATGGTAAGTGTGAAGTATGTTGTCCAGGACCACTTACACTCATGGTAAGTATGAAGTATGTGGTCCAGGACCACTTACACTCATGGTAAGTGTGAAGTATGTGGTCCAGGACCACTTACACTCATGGTAAGTGTGAAGTATGTGGTCCAGGACCACTTACACTCATGGTAAGTGTGAAGTATGTGGTCCAGGACCACTTACACTCATGGTAAGTGTGAAGTATGTGGTCCAGGACCACTTACACTCATGGTAAGTATGAAGTATGTGGTCCAGGACCGCTTACACTCATGGTAAGTATGAAGTATGTGGTCCAGGACCACTTACACTCATGGTAAGTATGAAGTATGTGGTCCAGGACCACTTACACTCATGGTAAGTGTGAAGTATGTGGTCCAGGACCACTTACACTCATGGTAAGTGTGAAGTATGTGGTCCAGGACCACTTACACTCATGGTAAGTGTGAAGTATGTGGTCCAGGACCACTTACACTCATGGTAAGTGTGAAGTATGTGGTCCAGGACCACTTACACTCATGGTAAGTGTGAAGTATGTGGTCCAGGACCACTTACACTCATGGTAAGTGTGAAGTATGTTGTCCAGGACCACTTACACTCATGGTAAGTGTGAAGTATGTTGTCCAGGACCACTTACACTCATGGTAAGTATGAAGTATGTGGTCCAGGACCACTTACACTCATGGTAAGTGTGAAGTATGTGGTCCAGGACCACTTACACTCATGGTAAGTGTGAAGTATGTGGTCCAGGACCACTTACACTCATGGTAAGTGTGAAGTATGTGGTCCAGGACCACTTACACTCATGGTAAGTGTGAAGTATGTTGTCCAGGACCACTTACACTCATGTAAGTATGAAGTATGTGGTCCAGGACCACTTACACTCATGGTAAGTATGAAGTATGTGGTCCAGGACCACTTACACTCATGGTAAGTATGAAGTATGTGGTCCAGGACCGCTTACACTCATGGTAAGTATGAAGTATGTGGTCCAGGACCACTTACACTCATGGTAAGTATGAAGTATGTGGTCCAGGACCACTTACACTCATGGTAAGTGTGAAGCATGTGGTCCAGGACCACTTACACTCATAGTAAGTGTGAAGTATGTTGTCCCGGACCACTTACACTCATAGTAAGTGTGAAGTATGGTGGTCCAGGACCACTTGCACTTATGATAAGTCTTAATTAAGGTGTTCCAGGACCACTTACACTCATGGTGAGTGTTAATTATGGTGGTCCAGGACCACTTACACTCATGGTAAGTATGAACTATTGTGGTCCAGGACCAGTCACACAGTGCCTGCAGCCCCTCACTTTCATGGTGCTTGCAGGGTCCCACGCCATGGTGCTTGCAGGGTCCAACACCATAGTGCTTGCAGGGTATCCCACCATGATGGCTACCATGATGCAGACATGTAGTGTTGTTGACCTGTCTTCTGACCTCATAATCTCTTCCCGTGACCTGTCTTCTGAATCTCTATTGAGTGTGGTTCAGAACTGACCGAAACGTCGTCTAGAGTTATCTTGTGATCTGAAGTATGTTGTTTTGTGACCTGGTGACCTGTGATCCTGGTGTTTCAGCTGTTGTTCCAGACGGAAAATCCAGGACTGGCGTGGGAGTACACACTCCCCCAGCACGACGTCACCTACACCCCCACCTTCACCTGGCTACACTCTGATTGGTCTGTGTGCACCGTCACCTGCGGAGAAGGCACCCAGGTGAGTCTGTGTATGTGTGTGTGTGTGTGTGTGTGTGTGTGTGTGTGTGTGTGTGTGTGTGTGTTGTGTGTGTGTGTGTGCGTATGTGTGTGTGTGTGTGCGTGTGTGTGTGTTCATGACATCATGTTGGTGATGTCACAAACACAAAGAACATCCATCTCGTGCAGACTAGAGATTAAACTTATAATTCCTCTGAAATCATTTTTAATATCAGTGGGTGACGCAAGGTTTACATTCCTCCTAGTCTTAAGTCAGTGGGTGACGCAAGTTTTACGTTCCTCCTAGTCTTAAGTCAGTGGTGACGTAAGTTTTACGTTCCTCCTAGTCTTAAGTCAGTGGGTGACGCAAGTTTTACGTTCCTCCTAGTCTTAAGTCAGTGGGTGACGTAAGTTTTACGTTCCTCCTAGTCTTAAGTCAGCGGGTGACGTAAGTTTTACGTTCCTCCTAGTCTTAAGTCAGTGGGTGACGTAAGTTTTACGTTCCTCCTAGTCTTAAGTCAGCGGGTGACGTAAGTTTTACGTTCCTCCTAGTCTTAAGTCAGTGGGTGACGTAAGTTTTACGTTCCTCCTAGTCTTAAGTCAGTGGGTGACGTAAGTTTTACGTTCCTCCTAGTCTTAAGTCAGCGGGTGACGTAAGTTTTACGTTCCTCCTAGTCTTAAGTCAGTGGGTGACGTAAGTTTTACGTTCCTCCTAGTCTTAAGTCAGTGGGTGACGTAAGTTTTACGTTCCTCCTAGTCTTAAGTCAGCGGGTGACGTAAGTTTTACGTTCCTCCTAGTCTTAAGTCAGTGGGTGACGTAAGTTTTACGTTCCTCCTAGTCTTAAGTCAGTGGGTGACGCAAGTTTTACGTTCCTCCTAGTCTTAAGTCAGTGGGTGACGTAAGTTTTACGTTCCTCCTAGTCTTAAGTCAGTGGGTGACGTAAGTTTTACGTTCCTCCTAGTCTTAAGTCAGCGGGTGACGTAAGTTTTACGTTCCTCCTAGTCTTAAGTCAGTGGGTGACGTAAGTTTTACGTTTCTCCTAGTCTTAAGTCAGCGGGTGACGTAAGTTTTACGTTCCTCCTAGTCTTAAGTCAGCGGGTGACGTAAGTTTTACGTTCCTCCTAGTCTTAAGTCAGTGGGTGACGTAAGTTTTACGTTCCTCCTAGTCTTAAGTCAGTGGGTGACGTAAGTTTTACGTTCCTCCTAGTCTTAAGTCAGCGGGTGACGTAAGTTTTACGTTCCTCCTAGTCTTAAGTCAGTGGGTGACGTAAGTTTTACGTTCCTCCTAGTCTTAAGTCAGTGGGTGACGTAAGTTTTACGTTCCTCCTAGTCTTAAGTCAGCGGGTGACGTAAGTTTTACGTTCCTCCCGGTCTTAAGTCAGTGGGTGACGTAAGTTTTACGTTCCTCCTAGTCTTAAGTCAGCGGGTGACGTAAGTTTTACGTTCCTCCTAGTCTTAAGTCAGCGGGTGACGTAAGTTTTACGTTCTTCCCGGTCTTAAGTCAGTGGGTGACGTAAGTTTTACGTTCCTCCTAGTCTTAAGTCAGCGGGTGACGTACGTTTTACGTTCCTCCTAGTCTTAAGTCAGTGGGTGACGTAAGTTTTACGTTCCTCCTAGTCTTAAGTCAGTGGGTGACGTAAGTTTTACGTTCCTCCTAGTCTTTAGTCAGTGGGTGACGTAAGTTTTACGTTCCTCCTAGTCTTAAGGCAGTGGGTGACGTAAGTTTTACGTTCCTCCTAGTCTTAAGTCAGTGGGTGACGTAAGTTTTTACGTTCCTCCTAGTCTTAAGTCAGCAGGTGACGTAAGTTTTACGTTCCTCCTAGTCTTAAGTCAGCGGGTGACGTAAGTTTTACGTTCCTCCTAGTCTTAAGTCAGTGGGTGACGTAAGTTTTACGTTCCTCCTAGTCTTAAGTCAGTGGGTGACGTAAGTTTTACGTTCCTCCTAGTCTTAAGTCAGTGGGTGACGTAAGTTTTACGTTCCTCCTAGTCTTAAGTCAGTGGGTGACGTAAGTTTTACGTTCCTCCTAGTCTTAAGTCAGTGGGTGACGTAAGTTTTACGTTCCTCCTAGTCTTAAGTCAGTGGGTGACGTAAGTTTTACGTTCCTCCTAGTCTTAAGTCAGCAGGTGACGTAAGTTTTACGTTCCTCCTAGTCTTAAGTCAGTGGGTGACGTAAGTTTTACGTTCCTCCTAGTCTTAAGTCAGCAGGTGACGTAAGTTTTACGTTCCTCCTAGTCTTAAGTCAGTGGGTGACGTAAGTTTTACGTTCCTCCTAGTCTTAAGTCAGCAGGTGACGTAAGTTTTACGTTCCTCCTAGTCTTAAGTCAGTGGGTGACGTAAGTTTTACGTTCCTCCTGGTCTTTAATATTAATAATAATAATGCAGTACAAAAGTACCATTTGGGATGAAGAAAAGAATAACTTTTTTTATGTATTGTGAGGTGAGGTACTGCAGTGTCTGTGTGTGTGTACTCACATGTGGCTGCAGGGGTCGACTCACAGCTCCTGACCCCTCCTCTTCGTGTGTGTACATGTCATGTGTGTGTGTGTTAAGAGCAGGTGTAGACCTGAGATGAAATGCAAGTGATCATTTTGTGTAGTAATTTTAACACGGACGTAAATAATAGAAGTGTAACTATCACTGGTCAGTTGCAGAAACAAACCTTCACGGGAACAATATATTTCGACTTTATATTGAGACCTTCGGCAAAGCATCGAAGATGGGATCATCTAAAGTCGAAATATATAACATTAATCTGTTTTATTGTCCCCTTGTGAGCTTATATGTTACATAGTTTGATAGATCTAAAAACATCAGCAGTGTTAACTGGGCGTTGTGTGTGGCGGTGGTGCAGGTATCCAAGGTACAGTGTATGGAAAAAGAAGCTGGTCTGGTGGAGGAACAGTACTGTCGTGGCCAGCAAAAGCCCAGCGACCGCTCCAGGGCGTGTAACAAACACGCCTGCCCCGCCTGGTGGTGGTCTGGCCCCTGGCAGCCCTGCGCTATCACTTGTGGCAGTGGCGGCGTCAGGAGAAGGACTGTCATCTGCGTTCGCTCCTTCGGTCCCACTCAGCAGATGGCGCTGCTGGACTCTGCCTGTGACGACAGTGACAAGCCCCACGAGACGGAGGTGTGCCCCACGCTGCCACCCTGCCCACAGCTCCTGGAATGGAGTGTGGGGGCCTGGAGCCAGGTCAGTCACTTATTTTAGTGCTAGGATGCTCGTCTTACCTACATCCCTCTTCATAATGTACTCAGCAACACCTAATTTTAGTGCATTTTACACATAAAATTAATAAAGCATTCTTTGCAGATGCTAAGATGTTATTCTTACTAGCTTTATCGACATAGTTTAGGTTGTCACATTATTATTATTATTATTATTATTATTATTATTATTATTATTATTATTATTATTATTATTGTTGTTATTATTATTATTATTATATACAAACACCAAAGGGTTGTCAGACTGTTGTCAACCAATCATTTGTTTCAGCATCCTCTATTTTCACTATAAACTCTTAACGTCAGTAGCCATTTTGAACCTTCACTATTGTAACAATTTGCGCTATGGTATGAGTTTTGCCTCTTGCATCACTCAGCTGGCAGCTTAATGCAGACCTTTTTTTTTTACCAGTAAATGAAAATGACTTCAGCAGCTGACTGTCTTTTGTGTCGCTGCAGTCGTGCACTTTGGACCCTTGCGACTTCGAGGAGCGCGAAGTGCTGTGTGTGGCTCCAGGAGAGAACTGCGATCCCCTCTCACGTCCGCCAGACAGACGTCAGTGTGGTAATCTCACCTGTGGAGTGTGGCAGGTGGGCAGCTGGTCCAAGGTAAGTGTTACGGTGAACGTAAAACTCACGTGGAATAAACTTCCAATAGTATGAGATTTTGAGTATAATTTCTTGTGCCTCTTCAGTGATTTTACAGGAACTGAAAGCTATATAAAGTTGTTTCACCAACCAAGGCGGTTTATTAAGTGTTGTTCTGTATGTGGCAGTGTTCCTCTCCGTGTGGTGAAGGAGTGCAGTTCCGACCCGTGTCTTGTGAAGGTGGGCTCGCATGCAGAGAGATAGATGAGCCCAAGAGTGTCCAGGAGTGTATCGGCAACTGTCTGGATGACGAGACACACTTGGAGATTAACGACGATCTCATGGACGAACTTCTGTCCTTGAGCATCTCTGCTGTTACCACTCCAAAGGGGATATTAGCTACAACTCCTGGGGTTACATCCACTACGACTCCGGCGAGCATATCCTCTACGACTCCAGTTAATATATCCTCTGCGACTCCAACTGGAACATTCTCTACGAGTCTTGTAGATATATCCACTACAACACCAGGGAGTATATCCTCTACGACTCTATCTCATACAATCTCTACGACTCCAACTGATATACCCTCTACGATTTCTGTAGATATATCCACTATGGCACCAGAGAGTATATCCTCTACGACTCCAGCGGGTATGTTCTCCACTATTCGGGAAGTTATACCATCTTCGAATCCAGGGAGTATTTCAACTATGACTCCATTAGGTACATCCTCTACAACTATATCTTCTCCGACTTTGGGGAGTGCATCCTCTACGACTAAGGTTGGAGTATTCTCTACTAGTGCTTCCACCAACATTCTGCCCACCACTTCTACCCCACCACACACATCCACTAGCCTCACTACGTCTACTGTCCTCAGTATCACCACAGCAGCTGTCCCCACCTTCCACACTGTGTCACTCACCTCCGAGTCAAGTAGCACTGAGCCAGCTTCATATGACCTACCTCTGCCGCCAATTATCACAACACCATCTACCTCGAATGAAGCCTCTACGAGTGAGGCTCTAGCAACAGCGCCGACAATAGAGTTTTCTAATTTTTATCCCACTGATGAGACAACAGTAGAAGTACTGCGATCATCCACCACTATTCCGTCAAAGAATTCAAGAAGCAAAACGCTGATAACACAGCCGGAAACCATGACAGATCCCCCATCAACCACAGCATCAGTCTTTACCAGTTTGCCTGTTGTAGACTCAAATACTCCAGAAACAACTACAGCATCAGTTTCTACTGGTTTGCCTGTTGCAGACTCAAATATCCCAGAAACATCAACCACAGCATCGGTCTTTACAAGTCTGCCTGTTGAAAAATCAAATATTCCAGAGACATCAACCATAAAATTAGTCTCGACCAGTTTGCCTGTTGCTGGCTCAAATATTCTGGAGACATCAATCACAGCATCAGTTTCTACCAGCCTGCCGGTTAAAGACTCAAATATTCCAGAGACATCAACAACAACATCAGAAACATCCACAACATTTATATCTACCAGTCTTCCTGTTGCTGACTCAAATATTCCAGAGACATTAACAACAGTATCAATACCTACCGGTCTACCTGCTGCAGACTCAAGTATTCCAGAGACAACCACGGTTGCCCCAGTATCTGGACCAACTACAGCACTACTACCTGTAAAGTACTCTCCTGAGATCGGTACCTTGGCAAATGGCGAAGTAGCTGAGAAGAGATACAGTGTAGAGGATGACCACGAAGCTAGCAAAGTGGCTTTTGAAGATAATGACAGAGCAGATAATGATATGGATGACACAACAGATGCTGCAGCACAGAAGCTAAACTCGACTTTAAGTGAAGATAACATCGAGAATATACAGAAAGATAAAGCAGCATCTTTCAAGGAAAACATGTCAGATGCTCATGATACACTTGGTGACACCGTCTCGGAAACTCTTCCAGAAACTGATCATGAAAACATTCATGTTCTGGAATCTTTCAGTGAAGTCGATGTTGAATCAAAGACACTAAAACCAGAGGATAAGATGGTTCTTAATAACAGGTCTTCAGCAGAAGAAAAGCTTCCTGACGGTGAGATACACCCGGAGAGCCAGATTCCTGATAATACACAGGTCTCCGCATCACCTACTTCTGCAGATGACGACCTCAAAACAGGTGAAGCCCCACTTGTCACAGAGGCACCTACACAGATGCAGCAACACACTCAATCGGAGTTATCTTCTGAACTAGAAGAATCAACTGAAGAAGAGGAGGTGGAAGCAGAGGAGCAACGCCCCGATGGAATCATCGAGGACAAAATCAATGTTGATGACTTCGAGGTGATTGAGATACTTGAGCTACCGCCGAAGACTAATGGTAAGAAACACAGGAAGAAGGTTCTCCTCCACAGCGGCGCCAAAGCCGTGGACGTCCTGTATGAGCTGGCGGAAGAGCAAGCAGCAAAGAAAGCAGCCACCACCTTTCTGCCAAACAATAGCTTGGATAATATGGTACCCAAGTACCAGTGGAACATCAGCAACTGGTCAGAGGTGAGAATAAGTGAACAGCTACAACATTCCGGAGTTAGTTTATAAGATGCGCACACTTGTGTACCCACACTGACGTAAACACGTGAGTGTTGTGTATAATATATGTGTGTACCTTTTCAGCTGATTCTTTTATATTTTTTAAACAGGATTTCTGTAAATATTCAGATTAAAGTTTTTTTTTTTTTACACGAGATATATGATTATCTAGACTAATATTGGTACATAATATTTTTACGGCCTTTTTTTACGCTTAGAGTTTTTGCAAAGCATTAATTCAACAGATATTCAAATGTGGTATGTTAAATATTCATTGTAAAACAACAATGAAATCTGATTATCATCTGTAAGAGAGTATGATGTGTACTGTGTTCTTACTGAGGTGTTGTGTGTACAGTGTAGTGTGGAGGTGGTGAGTACAGTGTTGTAACTGTTGTGTTGTGTGTACAGTGTAGTGTGGAGGTGGTGAGTACAGTGTTGTAACTGTTGTGTTGTGTGTACAGTGTAGTGTGGAGGTGGTGAGTACAGTGTTGTAACTGTTGTGTTGTGTGTACAGTGTAGTGTTGAGTGTGGAGGTGGTAAGCAGCTCCGAAGTGTTACCTGCCAGGATCTCTCCTCCAACACTCCTGTTCATCCTCAGCTCTGCATCCTTCCGGCTCCCCAGAATGTTCAGTCATGCAACACGGTCAGTGAAGAGCTGCAATATTTAACTGCAGTGCAAGATTCGTAACAAAAAATAATGAGAGATATTAATATGAAATATTAATTCCTGACATTTCCAATGGTTCATAGATAACCCTTGAGGTACGTGGTTAGGCGTTTTATACACGCACCTCACAGTGTTATGTTCGTGTCCGTGTCAGGTGGAGTGCGGGGAGTGGAGGGTAGGGGAGTGGAGTGCGTGCTCGTCCTTGTGTGAGCTCGGGGAGCGGGTGCGATCCGTGGAGTGCGTGGAGGGTGAGAGATGTCTCTCACACACCCGACCAACAGAGGTGGAAGCTTGCAACCTGGGCCCCTGTGTGCAGTGGGTTGAGGGCCCCTGGAGCCTCTGTACCAAGTGAGTACTCAAACTTCCCTCTTTTCTCTCTTCATTCCTTTGCTTCCTTCATTCTTTTCTTTCTTCCTTCTTTCCTTCCATGATTTACTCCCTCCTTCCTTTTTCACGTTTCTTCCTTCCCACTACTTATCACTATCCCATGCCTATTGTTCCATAACCATTGTTCCATGCCTAGTTTTTTATATATATTGTTCCACAACCATTGTACATAGTTATTAGCTCAGGCTCTTTGTTCCATAACCCATGTGTAATGAACATTTTTGTTCCATAATACTTATTTCATACACATTGTTCTGTTTTCAGTATTCTATGTCTCTTAGACACACACACACACACACACACACACACACACACACACACACACACACACACACACACACACACGCACATCGACATGTACCTAGGACAAAATGGTAACTAACTAACACACACACACACACACACCAGCTCTGGAACTAGGATGGGGACCCACATCCTCAGAGAAAAGAATAAACTTACTTAAGGGGAAACACGAGATTCTCCCCGGAGCTGTTTGCACATACATGAAATCTCGGCGGTGGGCAGCGTGCCCAGAATGCTGCAGGCATTTCCCTCTGGATCGCGACATTGAGTCTCTGAAAGAGGAAGCTGGCTGCTCTGTGATTCTTGGCTTGCGCGATGAGTTTTTCACCCAGGTCTTTGAGGAACTTTAGAGCACGCTTACCCCACGCTCCTAAGGTCTCTGACCCCACTGGGATAAAGTTATAGCAGCTGGGCAGGCCGTCATGTTTGCTGATCTTCTGAGTCTCCCTGTAACTGGAGGCTCCACCCCATTCAACTTCAGAGTATGGCAAGTACAGTGCTAGTCACGGCATTATGCCGCCCCTCCCCCACACACATACCAAAACACAAACACATACCATGAAAGATTATAATATATATATATTTGCACACTTACTGAGGTTTTAATATTTTGTGTTGCGTCTGTCTTTTATGCTTAATCACGTCACTCAGCCGTGTAGGAAGACTTACACACAAATTCGTGAGGGTTTGGGGAGGTATATTATTCCTTGCCTCATGTAGAGCAGCCTCCAGCCGCGGGATGGCACTGATATCCTTGCCCTGTAAATTTCGTTTCACTATTGACCAGAGGTTCTCAATAGGGTTTAGGTCTGGGGAATTGCCTGGCCAGTCATTAAATAACCTCACTTCACAGTCCTTAAGCCACTGAACTACAGATTTGGAAGTATGACACGGTGCACCGTCCTGCATAAAAACCATAGCCCCACACTTGTCAAGTGCCTCAGGTAAAATGTCACACAATAATTCCAGGTAATTATACTGGCTCATATACTGGTTTTTTGGAAGCACAATGAGTTCACCAACACTCTGAGCACTGAAACACCCCCAAACCATGAGTGAGTCTGGGCGTTTGGTGGTCCCACAGGTGTAGCATGGGTCTAGCGGGTCACTACCTCTGGGCCAGTACACATGTACCCCATGGTTACAGGTGATGGTGAAGGTTGCTTCATCACTCCAAAGTACTTCAGATACTGTTGAGGATTCTAGTGAAGATATTTCTTTGCATAATCCAGCCTACGTTTCTTCTGTGGCTGGGAGAGGATCGGTTTCTTAACATGGCCGTGACTACTGTAGCTCAATTCTGACACGTCTGTTAACAGTTCTTACAGACACCTCTGAGAGAAGACGTGGGTTCTTTTCTTTCATTTCTCTAGCAGTTATCTTAGGTGTACTCTCTAACTGCTTCTTTAACACAGTTAAAGGTGCCAGGCCGAGGTTTGGCAGACAGACACCGCCACCAGCCTTGAATCGCTGCACCCAGTCCCTCACTGAGTGCTCACACACCAACAATATTCTCCACTGTTTTTTCATCTGGTGCCCAGCTTTGTGAAGCCCTATGATCTATAGCTTCAGGTGTTAAAGACTTCTTTTCACCCATAATCAAACATGTATAGCCCCAAAACCAAAGGGAACACCCGACAAAAGATGAGGTGGATGAGAGACAAAAGTGCAACACTTCCTCTCACCATGGCAGCCACGTGAGCACTGAGGAGTCGCTGGAGTGTGGCAGTAGGCTGTGATATCATGGTAACGCCTGCTACCCGGCATAATGCACTGACGAAAAAAGACCCTCCTGTATGGTAGGCCTTTGATTTTCGTCAAGGTATTATGCCGGGGTGATCACCCGGCATAATGCGGGAACTAGCACGTACGTATCCCCTTGGGGCCCAACGGGTGGGTCCAGCAATTGCTAACCATCTTTCCAGGGAGCTTAGCTCCTTTTTGGGGACGCTTTTGACTTCTGTCGGACCCCTTATTTGGGTTTCCTGTTGACGGGGCAAAGGGCTGGGTGAGACTTTGAAGTCGTTGACCCCCTTTATACTAGCTATTTTCCCCCTGTGATACACACACCCCAGATTCTGAACTGATCACCGACGCCCTGCCGCAAATCCCATCTATTTTTGGTGAAATGGGGGAGCTAGGCGAAGAGCACGCCAATCCGAATGCCTTGGGTCGGGTTGGGGTCCCGGGGAGGATTGGTTTCCCCGTGTCTTCACCATTGTAAGTCCTCCAGCAGGGACCTTCTGTACTTGCCAATCCGTCTTCTGGTACCAGATTTAGCCACTTGCATGGGCGGGGAAAGTTATTTCTCTCCCGCCAAGAAAGAAATGGAACGAGGGGGTCACCCGCGAACACCCTCTGATGGGGGAATTTCAGTTCCCAAACAAAGAATTGGGGGTTTTCTGTAAAAAGTCGTGCCGAATAGTAAAATTTGGTTTTGGCTTAATTAGCAACACCTTCTTGCCAAAAAGGAAAGCGAAAATTCGTGATTCAAAAATTTTCGCAAAAATCATTCTGAACCTAACGAAAAAAAAATATTTCACTGTGTTTTTTTATATTAAATTAAAAAACAAATCTAAAATAATTTAGTTGGGTTAGGCAAAATAAATTGTTCTTGTTAAAAAAGGGTTGGGAAATTTTTTTCTAAGATTTTTTTTGGTCAAACTTATAAATTTTTACATAACTTAATGAAAAATAATATCTTTAAACGACAAGAGAAAATTTCAAAAGGATTTAAATTTTTTAAAATGATTCTTGCAATTGACCATTTTACATATTCGGCACGACAATATATATATATATATATATAATAATATTAATATTATATTAAATTATAAATATAATATATTATATATATATTGTATGTAAAAATTTTCAAGGACTTCGCAAACAGCGAATAAAAATATATAAATATAATAATATATAAATAATATATATTATAATATATATATATATATTATAATATATATATATATAAATAGAAGCATCAGGAAGAAGAGGGAAGTTTATAAACTAAAGAGGAGGCAGTTAGGGTAAATAAAACAGCTATTGGGGGATAGAGGGCTAATGAGAGCATAGGCAAGGGGGTCAAAAGGGGTAGGGGTAGGTTTAAAAATTAGTGTTAGATGTTCACAGAATTTTGTGGTTACAGGAAATTTGGTGCAGAGGGAAGAGGACATTGGGGGAATGATGATGAAAAGAGTAGTAAGGAGAAAAAGTTACAATGAAATTTTTTTTACAAATAGAAGTGATGCAAGGAGGGAAGATTTAATGGAAAAAAAAGGGAGAAAATAAAGATGGTGAAAGCAAGTAAAAAGAGAGCAAATGAGAGAGTGGGTGAGATGTTATAAAAAAAAATTTGTTGAAAATAAAAAAAATTTTTGGGAGTGAGATTAACAAGTTAAAAAGCCTAGAGAAACAAAGGTTTGCAGTTAAAAAAGGGAGGAAGTTTTTAAATGGAGAGTTAAAGGGGTATTGGAAGATGGAAGGAATATTTTGGGGAATTGTTAAATGTTGATGAAGATAGGGAAGCTTTTTTTCTGATAGGAAAAGGAGGAATAACATCTTGTGGGATGGGGAAGACCCCATTGTGAGGTGGGGGAAGTTCGTGAGGCATAGGAAAATGAAAGGGGGAAGCACCGGGATTGAGGGGAAAAGAAGAAATGTTAAAAGCAGGTGGGAATTTTTGGAGGGGGTTGGTGCAATTTTTTAAAAAAATTTGAAAAAAAGGGTACCGGGGTTTGGGAAAGAGACAGCATATTTCCTTTGTAAAAAGGGCAAAGGGGATAAAGAGAGGCAAAAATTTATAGGGGATAAGTCTGTTGAGTGTACCGGAAAAAGTGTAGGGTAATTTATAATTGAAAAATTAAGAGTAAGACGGAAAAGGATAGCAAGAACAAGGGCTTTAGGAAAGGTGGGGGGGTGTGGGACCAGTTTTTTACAGTGAAACATATAAGTGAACATTTTAGAAAGGCTAAAGAGGTCTTTGGGGCTTTTAGGATTTGGAAAAGGCTAGACAGGGGGGTAGGGGGGCAATGTGGCGATTTGCAAGTGTATGGTGAGGAGGGGTTACTGAAAAGCAGGAAGATTTTTTACGAGAAAAATGGGGCTCAAGTTAAGTATGAGGAAAGGGGGAAAATTTTTTTTTCCCGAAAAAGTGGGCCTTAAAAAGGGATGTGTATGTCCCCGGGTTGTTTAATTTTTTATAAGGGGGTTTTAAGAAAGTAAATGCGAGGGTCGGCAAAGGCGGGAGTTAAAAAAAAGAATCACACAAAAGTGGGATTTTCACAGCTGCTCTTTGCTGATGACACTGTGCCTGGAGATTCTGAAGAGAAGTTGCAGAGTTTGGTGGATGAATTTGGTGGGGGCAAAAGAAAAAAAATTAAAGGGTAAATAAGGAAGAGAAAGGTTATGGGGAAACAAAAAGTTTGGGTGATGAAAGATGAATACATTTTGGGGGGAGAGATAGGAGGAGGTAAACGTTTTCAATATTTGGGGGGACGGCACAATGGTTATAAAAGACGAGGTGAACATAAAATTTGATGAGGGAAAAAGAGTGATGGTGCACTTAGGAAAGTCTGGGGAACAAGAACTTTGCCTTGGGGCAAAGGGAGGGAATTAGGGAATATAGTTTTTCCAAACCCCTTTTATGGGTGTGAAGCGTGGGGTGAATGTTGCAAACG